AAATAATGAAATAAATATACTGGTATCATTGGATATTTGATTTAATTGTGAAACTTTCTAACAAAATGTTATCTGCTGGCTTCGAACCCTCAATCAACAATTCCGCAGACACAGTATAAATTCCACAACACCACAGAAGATATTCGTCTGTTGCCTGAATTGTTTTCGTAATATAGGGAACGCCAGCGACACTACAACAAAACTTACCTTGACTTGGGTGCTGTTTATTATTTTTTCGCGACGTTCTTTGTTTACTTGTTTTCGGTTTCAGAAAGATTTCAGTTTATTTGATTTACGTTTTTACGCTAGCTTTGAGCGGGACTCGAACCCACTGTCTTTTCGAGCTAACTTTGTTTTATTTTGATGGCACGCTTGTGTACCACGCCACGGCGTTGGTCGTTGAGTGGTCTTCATTTTTCTAACTACTCCAGTGTTCTGATGAGTTGAACGGAAAAGCCAAAACGATTGCTGGTTTCTGATTGCTTCGGTTCTGGTGAGTGTGTATCTAGTGTGATTCGAACCCATGTCGTTTGTATTGGGCGTTTTTTTTACTTCCCATGTTGGCCACGCCGTAATATGCAACCACTTCCCGGTTTTATTGTGATTTTGAGAGTGCTTAATAATGTCTTCCTCACCCGTCACGCCATGACCCAGTTTCAACCACACGGCCATTTTGTAAAACAGTGCGTGACCCTCGGCGTCACCCGACTGACTATATGATCGTTCTGTTCAACTGTTAAGCTAGGATTTATTACCGTTATTATCATTATACTGTCACATGATTTGTTTTACCTTATATGTAATGTCTTAAGTATCTTTATTGTAATTTGTATATACCAATTCGTATATACCGAGGAAACGACCCCGATTGAAGGTCATGTATTTTGTGACGTCACCAATTCGTGTGTAGGTGCGGCTTCTAGATCCGTGCCAACTATATATTTTCGGAAAGCTTATTGTATGAATTTTAAAGTTTTGTTAGTATTTTATTTTTATGGACACTGTAGTTTGAAATATGCACAAAAATGTGCTTTTTTGGTCAAAAGTGATTTTAAAAAATTAGCTTCTAAACCATGCTTCTGTTTCCTGTCAAAATTGGTTTATGGGTACATCTGTTTACTATGGAGAAAGCGCCGTCTTGAAAACTGTCTACCAGGTGTCAATTTTGTAGGACAGCAGCTCAAATTTCACTTCTTCAAGTTTATGCATAAATTAACACCCAGGCTAGTTGTCTGAACGATTGCTGTAACACTATTCAACTAAAAACAATGCCCCGACGGCGTTTTGAAGATAAACACATTGTCAATCATTTGTGAACATTTCAAAACAAAAGGTCAAAGCGTCTAGGAGCTATTTTTTTTTAAAGTTCTGGAATGTGCACTAAAAAGAAGCTGAGATAATTGCTAATTTGCATAACAATTCACTCAGTAAGAAGTTTGCTAATGCTCATATTAAAATTGCTGTTACAGTTTCAAATTTAAATGTATTATCGTTTTGTAAAAAGTTAAATACAGTGCATAATATGGAGATCCCGTCATTCCTTTTTTCACCATGTTTTTTTTATTATTTATGTACAGCCTTGCTAAATCTTGCTAAGCATTCAAAAGAGATAATATTGCATCTGTTATCTATATTTTAAAATCGTTTTTTGAGTATGTTCCACTATTCGCAATTCTTCAAAATGTCAACAGTCTATAGCCAAGATTATTTGGATAATAAAAAGCAAAAACAAAAAAATTGATTCCAAAGTGCCCACGAACCTGCATCTCTACCTTAAAGGGCGGTAGTTGTCGCGCCACGCATGCGCGAGATATGTAAGTCTCAAATAGTAATAATAATAAACATATAAACAAAGATGGCGACTTTGACCGTTGCGCAGATCAACAAGTACTAACTGAGACGTTTCCAAGCTTTAATTAGATATTTTTAGGTGATTGGAAGGAGTCACCGGCGGTATTCAGTGCAAGTCGCGCCCAGGTCAAACCTCATACTTGTGGGAAAATCAATGTTTATCAACGCAAATTCGCACATGCTCAGCGCGACGACCATCGCGCTTTAAGATTCCCACTGAGCTTCGCTGACAGTAGACTTCCAGGTTGGGGGTAAAAACGTTAGTTTCATGGTATACAAAACAACTTAACACTTGTATAATATTTGTTGCAACCACTTTTAATTCCAGTATAACTATTTGAATAAATATAAGCTGGTTAAGTTACAAATAAAAATGTGGCATAACATTAGATCAACAAAAAATGGATCAAGTCCTCATATTTTAAACCCAGGACGAAGATAATCTACACCACTAAGCCGAGATACGTAACCACTGTGAATTCTAAGTAATGGTAATAGGTATGTAAATCAATAAAACGAATAAAAATGTGCAATTAAACAAAAGGGCGTCTATTCTACGGATCACTAAATTGAATGTTAAGAGCAACAGTATGTTCGCGTGTATAATTATAAAAATGACGCCCATATGAGCATTCAAAGTTTATTTGTTTGTCCTAAGTTGTCGTAATAACAACATTTGAATTGCATCTTTGTAGATAACAAAAAGTGTGAATATAACCATCCACGCATGCGCACGATTCTGCCATGAAACAGTCTTCCGTCGCGATTACAGTATGTAAGATGTTTATAAAGAAATTAATAAACAAAAAACGGTTAAAAGATTCAGTCAATGAAGTATTCATAAGTATATAGTACAGCGACTCGGACATGACTTGCTTCCAATCTATACTATGACAGCATGATATAATTCTCAAACCCATATGTATCAGAGTTTTTTTTTTAAATTGATCCAATTGCATATGGTATATATTGATTGGTGGTATTTGTGTTATATCTTAAACCTAATCCACCCTCATTCTGACATCATATGTGTCGGTGATTGTTGATGTTATCACATTTAACTATTTAACTCCATGTCATGTTTATTCTCTGTAATTTACGTCATCTGGTTTGGTTGCATTCTCGGGAATTCTTCTTACAATCCATGATGTTATATCTCTGATCACAACGGCGGCATCTTGAGGGGGTTCACAGATTAAAGCATGATAATGTCCAGGGTATACCTAGAAGAAGAATTTCAGGTGTTTTTGGCATGATTAAAAAAAAAAAAAAACTCATCGATTTCGACAAACTCAAAAAAAAAACGATACAGCAGCAAACATACAGACGTTCCAATTATAACTCATGCCTACTTGTAAATGCCTGTCTGTGCTCTTTGCCTTTTCCATCATCATCTTGGAACCTTCGATGTCGCACAGCTTGTCTGCATCTCCATGTAGGATCAAGAAAGGCCACTCAATCGACGATAGATTCTGCTGAACCTCCCGAGTACCTGTTATAACCTGAGCGATAAAACTCGACGGTAGTCCACCATGCCATACCAGTGGATCGTTTTCGTATAATTCTACCTACAAATTTAACAGCAACGAATGAACGATAACACCTAATATCCTATATCTGCAAATCTGTATATTATTATAATGGACTATTATATACAGGTTTATTTGGAATATAATTTATAGATTCTCTTAGTTTTTAACACATTTTCAAAATGAGAAATTCCAGATTTTAATTGTTGAATGAATGTTACCAAACCACATTTTGTTTACAAAGAAATTTATTATGATGTCAATAGTGTTAGAAATATTTTTGATCTGTACAATGTCTCGTTAATTAACTTCCAATGCTTGGTCATACAGACAGGCACGGTCAACATTGCAACAAATTATGTCAGGGTAAATGGTTCACGTTTACTATAATTGTGGTAAAAGGACGAGAATATATAACAATTGAACGCTGTATAATTTCTTAGTAGCTGAGTGGTTTCCGTCTAATCTTTCGTGACATGTTAGTGAAGTTCTGTTAAATAGAAAATTAGAGTTGAAGGAGTGTATAACTCGGCAGTGTGAAAAACAGCGTAAAGATATTTTAGTCTAAATTATGTATCTATGAAGTTTATCAAAATTCAATGACACCCAAATATTTCACTCAATAGTCTCAAAATTCCACCGTAATAGACACAGTAATAAAGAAACATGAATTACATATATGAATAATTTACATATTTAATGGTGAGTCAAACAATCATTGACGATCTTAATAGAATTGGGTAGTTGTAGTCCACAATAAGTATTCAAAATAACCAGGCATTTCCCATACTAGTATATTATTATTGCCATTAATGGGAATATTCAATCTCAATCTCACCTCTTTGGGATCTCTAGTAATATGCTCTGCATTTATTTTCGTTACTTCATATTTTGGAAACCAATATGATACAATTCTCAACATATATGTCTGAAAAGAAGAAATCCAGCGACAACAACTTTCAATGCAGACGCTGTAACGATGTTTTTTAATTGTTTTTGCGTGGCGTGTCTGCTTAGCTTGACAGCATGGGCCACTCACCACTGCACTGTAACGTACTTCCACTGTTAAAATAACTATGTCCGTGCATCTGCACATCGAAGTTTCATTGAGTTTAAATGCATGTTTATGTAGGTTAAATGCTTACCGTTATTGGGGACTTGTTTTTTATCGTGATAACCGGGCCAGACAGCACAACACCAGTGAACTGATCAGGTCTCTCTATGGCTGTTAGTATGGCTATTGTTCCACCCTAAAGAAATGATTATAACAAACGATGTAACGACTGTTATATTACGGGGTATGACTTCCAGTACTACAGTTATTGTATTTGTTTCAAAAAGATGAATATACTTACGTAGATGCAAATGATTTACAATTGTAACAACCAATGACGGTGGCTATATTTACATAGATGCAAATGATTTATTTCATATATTTATAAATATAATATATTCAATTTTTTCTACAAAAGTCATACGAACGCGAATGTAAACACATCTTTAATAGTAAAGGTATACCTTCGTGAATGGAGCATCCATATTGGGAAATAGTCCATATAGAATTACAAATAAAACATCCTGATATATACGTGGAATGAGCTATCGCTGAACGGCCAATGAGAATGCAGTTACATTCATAGACGCATCAATATATTACCATACAACGACCAATAAGAATGATCGTTACATTCATATACACATAAATACAATACCATACAACGGCCAATAAGAATGATCGTTCATTCATATACAAATACTTACAACGACCAATAAGAATGATCATTACATTCATAGACACATGAATACATTACCATACAATGAAATTAACCTACCATGGAATGTCCAAAGAGAAATATTGGTAAATTTGGATGTTTCTTCGCAATTATGTCAATATGTTGTAAAGTATCTCGAACATAAATGTTGAAATCTGTTATATTCACACGATCTCCCTGGCTCTGTCCGTGACCAACTGAAAAACAAAAACAATCAGTCCCTCCAAAAAGATATCCAAAAAATCAAAATCAAGAAGTATTTAGTGGCAGTCAATCTAATTTTTGAATAAAATTAGAAAACAAAATTTGAGCATACAGTTAAGTCGAAGTATATATACAAAGATGTATTTGATACGTCAAAACACCTGTAAACAATGAAACAAGCTGCTCTCTGATTGGTCGGACTGTGAAATTAAACGATCAGACCATGGTCGAAATCTGACACGTATGTGTAGGTCATGTGTATTTATTCACAATTCGTATTTATCATGGTTTATGTATTGTCTAGTTTGTATTATTGTGGATGTATGCTGGTTGTTTCTTAATTTCATCAATAATAATCTTGTTTATACACTACAGCGATCGACTTACCGTGATCATGTGCATATACCATAACACCACATCCTGTCAAGGGTATAGCGAGTCTGTCGTATGGACCACTGTGCTCAGCTGCGCCGTGCAATACCAGACACAGTGCCCTAGAATCCAAATTAATTCTTCAAATAAATAAATCGATCTCTGCTCAGCTGCTCAAGTGACGTCAAAATGACGCCAAAATGACGTGGTGATGTCGCTCAAGTCTACAGCTTTGTTCAATTGTGTAGTTAGTTTGTCATTTGTTTGTTTTTATGGCAAACAGGCACAAATTCTGCTATAATACTGTGAAAACGGGGGCAAATAGCTTTAAAATAATGAAATTGATTGTATCATTCACAACATCTATTATCAAGGGGGACATGCACATGTCTTCCCGTTTCAATAGGCAAATTGTGAAAAGAACAACGCAACATTGACAACGCAACTCTAAATTTGAAAACATGGTTGCAGGACAAATATCTTTCATGATCAAGTGACTACGTACAATTGTGATTAAAACGGGGTTTGAGGGTAGAAGCAGTGTCGTCGTGCCAGACTTGTTACGCATAACGATCAGATGAAATTACATAAGATTGCAACTTACTGTACATTGAGCGGATAGCCGAAAAGAATTTGCCATGTATACCATATTTGATTAGATTCGATCATAGAAAATCGTATTCTGTATGCCTTCTCAATTACCAATATAGTTATAATTGCATTTTAATCAAGCAGTACATTATCAGCACACCGGTCACAGTGCTTCTCGTGTAATTCCAGGTTACCAATAACAGTTTTTAAAATTCATTCGCAGGTGAGATTGGTTTGGTCAACATACCATGAAAATACCAACGGTCAGATTTAATTGTATTGGTTAAGAGCGCAATTGCATTTAATATTTCCCAAAATAATTTCACAGAATCTAGTTTTGCTTCTAAAAGTGCATGTTTATGCGTTTATAAATTACCGTTTTTTATTTCTACATATTGCTTTAAAGTTATATTACGAGATTTATTAGTTGATTTCATTTCCGATGCAAGCATGTTCAAATATTTCACCCAGTACATGTATGGCTTGGTCGGGATTATTCAGTGTGATATATTAATAGACTTGTGCAAGCTGTTGTTGCGTGAACTCGTCATTCATATGACTAATGAATAATTCAAGTCCCGAGGTTTTTCAGTTGAAACGGCCCCTGGGTGTGGTTTTCATTACACATTCAGGTTTATTTTTGGGGTGGGTTAGAATGAGTGAATTTAAATTTAAAACGAATTGGAAGATGATCAGATGTATTCAAAGTAATAAATAGTGAACAGGTCATCAACAATATTAAACAACTCTGAAGATAAAATGTCATAGTCAACATCACTAACGCCGTTGTTTTTTGTCATTTAGAATATAGTAAAATCTCACACATAATTTTTGTTGATGAAGGAATACAGATGGAAACGACACGCTTTGAACGGCTTTCTTGTCACCCATTTACGTCATAGAAAAGTGTCATCGCCGGAGGGCGCCACTTATTAGAAATATGCATTATTTATATATCAATTTAATTTACAAATTACTATTCTAAAACATTTCATTTTGTGATATAAATATTGATTATATAAGAACGACCTTGGGTTCAGCATTAGTAGAAACCCTAATAGAAATGAAATTCTGCATAAATATTTTCTTTTTCCCTCAGAAAAATAACTAATATATTGAATAATATTCATGCAAAAACATGTTCATATTGGATATAGGAAAACACAAATTATTGCAACATCAATTGTAGTGATCATTCCCTGATCATTTCGTATTTTCACACGAAGAAGATAACTTGTTTGTGTTTGCAAATGTATATTTGATCTTTTCTTCACTGTCCTGCGCACTCTACACAATACGTCACGTTTTGCTTTATCGGACATCCAGCGACAATTGTGGTTGCCCTGTGTTTCTCAGCTTGATGTACAAGAAGAAAAGGGAATGTTTTACATAATGCGCATACTATCTGTGTGAGGTCAACTAATATAATTTATTGGCATTGACGCATGCTGTCAACGTCTATGCGAGAGAAAAAAAAACAACAACATAGAAAACAATACATGAACACGTTAAACGTACATGTTCTCGTCGCAATACATACGTTTTCTCAGAAACGACTTTTAATTTTTTACTAACGTCACCTGTAAACGAGTCGTGTTCAGATTATAACGCATAATTTTACCTTGGTTCTGCATCTGTAGGTGGAGCCCAGGAACGTGTGAAAATACACTGTCCGTCAGCGTTCACGTAATGTGCAAGCTGTTCGTAAGGTACACCCTGCGGACTGGTAGCCATTTTCGTTTGTCACTAGAATTGCAGTCAGTGTGCAGTGCGTATACAATGGCGACTCGTTATATGTCTGTCCTGAGGCTGATGGTGCGGTTACGCAGGACCAGGATTGCATGCGCATCCAATAACTATGACGTGGTTCGGAGACAGTTAGGAAACGTTTATAGTTTCGCTAATCCGGTCGATACCGTGGTAAATCGTAGACTTCGCCCTCTACACTGTTTTAGGCATAGGCAATTAGGAATATACGGGGGGGGGGGGGTCTTTAGGAAATTAATAAATTGCATTTTTTTTTAAAAACGTGGTAACAGTGTGACAGCCAGTATTTTTGCCACTTTCTAGAATTAGGGTTCACTCGTAAACAAAATATCTCTCATATATTGGTAGTTACGCAATTACTGAAAGATCGCAAACTGAGGTTCATATGTTTTACAAGTTTACAGGTAAGCCCCCCGTTTTTAGGGTATTTCAATCGTTGAGCACACGTTGTTAACGTGTTAAACATACAACAAAAACATGTTCATAACCTTGCTCATACATTCAAATAAAGTTTGTTGGATTGTTCATACTGTTCTTGAGAGAACAGACTTTCTTTCTTCAATTTACACATTTTTATAACTATTTTTATTTCTTTTAAAATATAATTATTTGCCTAAATTTCATTATTCATAATTAATATGGTTCCAAATGGGCAAACCCTTATTAAAAATGCACGAATTCATGGCCGGTCAAGCTCAACCAATAACGACATTGCAATAGAGGGATTAATTCACCAGGGAAATTACCTAAATGGTTATTTGCTGTGATGAATATTGTTATCAGTTCCATGCACATTTCTGCCAATTTTTGTTTACCAAAAAAAAAAAAAACGTGCATGGCACAGGCAAATGTTTCAACGAGTATTTCCAAACCTGTAATTATCTATATTTATGACATGACAAAACTGCAACCATACTGACAGGTGATGTAGGCTGTTAAGCCGATCACGAACTTCGGAAATATTGGACGTATAGAACAAAAATAACACCAAGCTTGGATTAAATTGGCCATTGGATTCAATATACTTAATGACCAAAAGTGATTGATAAAGTTAATCACACATACACTATTTTTTAAATACAAAAACAAACTTTGAAAGGATTAAAGAACCTAGTATTCTTGTTTTTCTTAGAATAGTGTTGTCATGCAAGTTCAAACTTTACGTAATAATGACGACATAGATCGTGTCAATGGTGTTATTGAACGTATTTGTCCAAAAAAAAATACAAAATGCATCCATTTGTGCTCAGTTGCCATACAAAACGAATTTGTCGGTCTTATAACTCCTTTCCGAGTAACATCAAACAAACAATTACACTTAAAATAATAATGGACAGCTTCTTTTTATTTCATTGCAAAGTCATTTTTGTCAATACATCGTTATGACTGGGAGAAATTATACACGTCACAGGGTGGAACACAAAACACAAGATTTGGCCTTTTTCTGACCACCAAGAATGTCTGACGAGGCTGTTCTCACTTTTTTTTACTTTTCTGAATCACTTCTCGTGCATCATTAAGCACTACTCCACCGTTGTTTCACTGTGTTGTTCATGTGTAACGTTTGGTATGTAACCCTGAAATATGTGTCACTATCGAGATATTTTGATGAATTGCATCACTTTTCCCTCCGCTTCGTGTTTAATCTCTGTAATGTACGTCATCTGGTTTGGTTGCATTCTCGGGAATTCTTCTTACAATCCATGATGTTATATCTCTGATCACAACGGCGGCATCTTTTGGGGGTTCACAGATTAAAGCATGATAATGACCAGGGTATACCTAGAAGAAGATTGATAAATGTACACGCAAAATGACACAAAACACGAATGGAGATTCTAGTCGGAATGGGTAACCATGCTTGCAGTAGTATATCGGTCTAAAAATATAGGTGAGGTTTATATACAAATTGTTTCATACTCTCAAAACAAAGATTTGCAAAGCAATGCATTTTGATCGATAATCGATAACTGATGACATCACGACTGAATGTCAACCCATTCACAAAAAAATATGTCACGTCTGTTTGATTACGTGATTGAAATAAAAACGCGCATTGTCAGACTGTGTAAGAAGATAATGAACACATTTATAGTATTTGTTATTCATTCTAATTGTGTATACATATTTACTATATTAATATGACGTCATGGGCATGTATATATATATATGACTTTATTTACATACCACACAAGGACAACCGCTGTTATTGTAAACGTGCGACTCTGTATTAATTACAATTCAGGAATTCCAACCCGACTACGCTTTGTCAATGAGTATTAGTATTTAATTGACTGTCACAGTTTACTTTTGCATGTAATTGAACCTATAAGTACGATGAGATTCCGGAAAACCCCTAGCATATTCAAAGCCATTCTTTGGCGCAGCAAATTATCTGAAATTAAAATTAAAATGCACACGCACGACAAAGTGAGAAGTTTGCCAAAGGATTATGAAACGCCGAGTCGTACCTGTAAATGTTTATCTGTACTCTTTGCTCTCTCTACAAGCATCTTCGAACCATTAATGTCACACAGGTTGTCTGCATCCCCGTGTAGTATCAAGAAAGGCCACTCAATCGAAGACATATTATTCTGAATTTGTTGAAAGGCAGCCGTCGCCTTGGCAACGAATCTTGCTTTTAGTCCACCGTGCCAAACCAGTGGGTCTGTTCGGTACAGCTCGACCTAGAAGAGCGTTGTGACCTTGAAGCATATGCTATTATACTATTTAATTTAAAGTACAGGCAATGATGATACATTTCGACATATATATTTAATGTATTTCTTCACTGCAATACATCTGCTTATAAATCGCGCCATCTAGTGACAAGCATTTCTGTGACGTAATTCGGTGACACGAACGTAGTCCATCGTCGATATCGTTTTGTTCTGCAATCGTCCATTAATGAACAAGATTATGTTTTTGAGACATTTTATTCTATACACGACAACTGACCATACAACCAAACACGGTGATTTCACCGATACTGTGATACTTCATCAACTGCGCCATTTTGACGTCACAGAAACGTCCCGTCAATATAGGGCGCGATTTTTAGGAATGGTCTACTCATTAGACATGTAACACCAAACCCGGAAATATAAAAATTGAATCAAATTTATCTTTTTACCACCGTGTACTATTATTGTCCATTAGATGAATGGTCATTCTCTATCACATAAAGTCATTGATGGCGGCAAATATCACAGCAGTGCTGTGAAAAAAAAAACGCTAAAACCTGCTGGTGAGTATATAATCGGAGAAAAAGAGAGCAATGGAAATGCGTAAATATTAATATTCAGACCCTTGTCTCACCTCTTTTGGATCTCTACTGACATGTTCTGGGTTTATTTTGTCAAGTTCGTGTTTCGGAAACCAATATGATGTAAATCTCAGTAAATTCATCTGAAAGAACAAATACGAACATGTATTCGTTACCAGTAATTACAAACACATGTAACAATAATGTAATGTGCTGTTTTCGTGTCATAACAGACGTCGACATTACGATATTTATGAAATGTGTTGACTTACTGTTAGTGAAGAAGTCAGTTTTTTGTGTACCGTGATAGCGGGCCCCGTCATTACAACACCAGTGAACTGCTCCGGTCTCTCCATAGCCGTTAGAATGGCTATTGCACCGCCCTGCGGGAAAAGTGTTGCTGTTATAATTTCCAAATAGAATGGCTAAATACGATATCGGTATGCAAATGAGGTCAGTGAAACCAAACAAATCTACGAAATAATAACTAAAACAAAAACACGTCATCACATAATTCTTTTCGACATCACGGGACTAAAAAAAAGTTTGTTTTTCTCTAATAAATTCATAAATAATAGCGAAAAATTTTAAAGTGGAACCGTGTATTGCGTTTACACGGAGGTGCCAAACACGAAAAGAATGTTACAACATGACCATAAACCAAATGGCTTACCAGAGAATGGCCGAAGAGAAATATCGGTAAATTTGGATGTTTACTTGTAATCACATCAACGTGCTGTAAAGTATCCCTTATATAGATGTTGAAATCTGTTATATCCATTTGATCTCCTTGACTCTGACCATGACCGACTGTGAATAG